ATAATCCAGAAAGGAAGATTCTCAGGACTTAGAACGTGCATATATATGCATGCTTCTTGTAGAAATGCAGGCTTTCCTCTGGGATATTGATAAATCTTTCACAGATCCAATTTTCAGTCAGTGCTAGAACTAACCATCACCGTCAGAGGTCCAGACGCCAGAGTGACAAGTAGAAACCTTATTTAACTTTTCAGAGTCAAATTGAACTAGCCTTAATGGAATGCCCCTAAAATCCCCGGCTTTTATTTATAGCCTTCTTTGGATCTCCAGCAGTCTTGTGAGGCACATAACTGTTATTATCCCTGCGGTGTAGACAGGGCACTGGGAGTCAAAGGAGTTTGGTGGCTTGTGCTCGGAGCCCTCCATCCGGTCATTCAAATCCCGGTCATCTGAGTTCTGAGGAATTTTAGATGTGGTCTAGCTGAGGGGAACTTTCCAACCAGACAGCGTCTAAAGCTGTGCTGCTTTTCCTGAGATCTCTCAGCCCAACCTTGCGGCAGCCCATTTAGATGATCTGCAGGGGCCTGTGGAAATATTTGCAAGAGTCTGCATGAAGAGTCCTCACTGTAACCCTATAAGGGAAAATATGCAAGCGCTGTGCTTGAGTATCAGCTCCTTTGCTCCAGTGCCACATGAGTTCTGTCTGTCCTGAGCGCACCCCCAGATATTCTCCTCGGTGTCTCTGCTGACAGAGAAGGGCCCCGACCAAACTGGTCAGCCTGTCCGAGACAGTGACCTTGTCAGAATCCTTCTTTTGCCACTTTTGATGCGCGTGTTCTAAGAATATCACAGAAGACATGGTTGCTATGAGAGGACAATCCGGGGTATTTTTCTCTGCAACTTTCTCTTCCAAACAAATCTCAGGAATTTTGTCTGTTATGGAGACGTAGAAACAAACGAGTGAATGAATTCACCAAACACACTGCGCGTGTCCGTTGGATCCTGGCTCCCGCGTCAGGAGCTCTGCTGGGTGTGCTAGGCACAGAGAGGAGGCAACAGTCCCTGACTTCAGATGTCGGCTGCCTGCTGGAGTGGACAGACAGATTTACCTGTAATTCCAGCAGAAGCCAGGGTCTGTGATGGAGGCAGGCCTGCCCGGTGGGGACGGAGCTGCCTCCCAGGGCGGGCAGGTAGGAGGCAGCCAGGTAAGAGGCGTGGCAGTGGGTGTGTGCGAGGGCGAGCCGGGCGTGCAGGGATGAGGCCCACCACCAAGGGCAGCCGTGCGTGCCGCGGTCCACGGGCTCCAGCGAGCCTTATGCGTGTGTGAAAGCACGCCGTTTGTTGCAGCATGAAACACAGCATGGGAGTGGAAAGAGAGGAGTCTGGAAGAATAAGCAGAGGCTAGTTAAGATTCTGATACAACATCAGGAAAAGTCACTGAAAGGAAGACGGCAGGGGACAAGGGCGTTTTCTGAGAGGCAGGTTGGTCCTGGGACCAGCCGTGGTTTAGCAACTGCTTCCTGACTGGACCCTCAAATCCAGCACGGTGGTCCTGAGGGAGAGGGAGGAGGGGGCTTTTGTGGAATCAGCTCCCCAGCTGTGCAGTGACTGAGCCTCTGGAGACGGGCAGCTTGAAGAGAGAGGTGTGTAGGCCGGGCGGTGGGTGCGCCGCAGGTGTGAGCCCCGAGTGGGGGGAGGCGGCCGTGAGCTGCACAGCGCAGTCCACCCTGCCCTGTGTTCTCTTGTGACATCTCATTTGGAGTCTTAGGGAGAAAATCTTTTCCCCCACCAGGGTTATAGAAGAATTAACCTATTTCTTCGAGGACTTGAATGGTCTTACTTTTTAAAAAATATCTTGGTTCTCAAGGGGTTTGGAGTTTTTTCTGGTGTATGATGTTAAGTATTTAAATTTATCTTTCTTCTTTCCCCAAGTGACCACCAGTTGTTCTAACTCCAATTAAGAGGTCTGTCTCTTCCCCATTGGGTTTGAGACACTGCCTTTATCAGAGGCCACATGTCTAAATATATAGGCCTGTTTGTTGACTATTATGCAGAATTGATCCAACTGGGAATTTATGTGCCAGTATCACACTTTTTTTTTTTTTTAAGATTTTGCTTATTTATTTTAGAGAGAGAGAGAGAGCGAGCACGAGCATGAGCTGGGGGAGGGGCAGAGAGAGAGAATCTCAAGCAGACTCCCTGCTGAGCATAAGAGCCTTATGCAGGACTCCATCCCAGGACCCTGAGATCATGGCCTGAGCCGAAACCAAGAGTCAGATGCTCAACTAGCTGAGCCACCCCAGGGCCCCTCACACCTTTTTAATGATATAAACTTTATATTATGTTTTGATAGGGGAGAGGTCCAGTCCCTCTTCTTTGTTCTTAAATATCCTTGCATGCTCCCTGGTATATTAAATTTATTTGTGAACGTGGAGAGAATTGACATCTTTCTGATGGTAAGTTGTCCTCTCCATAGGCAAGGGACACTTTTCCATTTGTTCAGATTTACTTCTTTGTCTTTCAGGAATGTTTTAGGTTTTCTGTATGGAAGTTCTGCACATTTCTTTTTAAATTTAAGTGTTTTACCTTTTTTTAAATTGCTTTTAAATGAGATACTCTTTTTCATTCTGTCTTCTAGTATTGTTTGGTAAAAAATTAATATGTGAGAAGGAGTAGTTTCTACATATTCTACTACTTTATTCAGGTTTTTAATTATTTATAGTAGTTTTATCATTGATTATCCTGGGTTCTCTCTATATAATTTCATATCAGCTGCAAACAGAGATCATTTTATTTTTTCTTTTCCATCCTTAAGTTTCTCATTGCCTCCTCGTTTCTCATTGCATTGGCTAACACTTCCAACGTAGTGTTAGAGACAGTGGAGCAAACGGGCCTCCTTGACTTGTCTCTGACCTTACCAGGAATGCCTAAAGTCTTTCTCCCTGACTAGGATGCTGTTCTTGTTTTTGTTTGTCTCTGTGTCTTAGTCCTTTTGGGCTGCTATAACGAAATACCATAGACCGGGTGGCTTGTAAAGAACAGAAATTTATTTCTCTCAGTTCTGGAGGCTGGATGTCTGAGAGCAGGGTTCCAGCTTGGACGGGTTCTGGTGAAGGCCTTCTTCTGGGTTGTAAACTGCCCACTTTTCATCCTCACAGGGGGAAAGGGCAAGGACACTAATCCCCTTTGTGAAGGCTCCACCCTCATGACCTCATCATCTCCCAAAGGCCCCACCTCCTGATACCATCACATTGGACATTAGGTTTCAACATATGAATTTTGGGAGGGACACAGACATTCAGCCTATAGTAGTTAGTACATATATTTTATCAAGTGGAGAAAGTATATCAGTTCCCATTTATTGACTTTTTTGAAAAAGCAGGAATGAGTACTGCATTTTATTGAAGGCTTTTTCATGATCTGTGGAGAGAATCATGATCTTCTCATGAGATCTATTAATATGATGAATTATATTAGTAGATTTTCTAATGTTGAGTCATCCTTGCATTCCTAGAATGAACCCCCTTTGGTCATGGTATGCTATTAATGTATTGTGTTGATTTCTGTTTGCTAATATTTTATTTAGGATTTTTGCATTGATATTTGTAAGTAACAATAGTCTTTGGGTTTTTTTTGGGGGGGTGGTCTCTATCAGGTTTAGGCATCACTTTTGTACTTACTTCTAAAAAAAGAAAGTATTTGAAAATTTTATGTATCTACCCTCTGGAAGAATTTGTGTAGTAGGGTTTGGTGTTTAAGGTTTGGTAGAATTCCCCTGTAAAACCATCTGGGCCTGGGGCTTTTATTTGTGAGGCTAATTCTTTGACAACTTTCTCTACTTCTATGGAAAATCGATCTGTGTATGCTTTCTAAAACAATTTGGTAAATTGTATTCTTATCTGTGAAATTATGTATTTCACCTAGTTTCAAATGTATTTGCACAGAGTTGTACAGGATAGTATTTCCTGACTTTTCTTAAAGGAGGGGGGCAGATATTTAAGGATGCCATAGTTGAGGAGATAAGAAGTGTGTGGGCAGTGTTCACTTACTGTGTTCACTGATCCCAAGTCATACAGTGAAGTTCTAGTAAGACAAGCATATGCTAATCGTAATAATAGCTACCATTTGTGAAATACTTGGCTCTGTATGTAGAGCAACTCCTTTAATCCTCATTACAATACTGAGATGCATAATCAGCATCTCATTTTAAGCATGAGATAATTTGGGGGAATTACTCACTTACCCAAGGTCACACAACTAGGAAGACTCAGAACTGGGATTTGGGCCTGATTTGTGTGGCTGCAAAAGCTGGGCTCCTCCTAAGGAGCAGCAGATGAGGAGAGACTGAGTAGAGGCATAGAGAGATTCTGGGAAGGAGGGGTCAGGGTGGATGGAATGACCTCTGCGCTCTAGACGTGCACTCCACTCTAGGGGACTGGCAGCAATTGCAGGGGCAATCACAAATAAAGAGGCAGGGAGGAGAGTCAGCCAGGTGATCCAGGTGGGCTGGCTGGCAGAGGAGGTAACCCTGGCTATGGCAGGCAGGAACCCCAGAGGATCACACAGTGAGAAGGGCACATGGAAGCTGGCAGGTCAGGGTGCCGGCTGGGCCTGGGGGTGTGTGGCTGGGAGCAGGAGAGCCAGGGGCACTGGGGAGTTAGGAGGAAGCATGTACTTGTTTTTAGCGGAGACTAGGTGAGGGAAGTTACCCACGTCTAGTTTCTGTGCACTAGGTTAGGACCCCGAAAGGAAGAGCTACCTAGGAGGGATTTCAGATGAATACGTGGTGTTGGAAAGATGCCCCACTGCCCTCGTGCTGTCTGGTGACACTGACTAGAACTGAGGACGCAGACAGCATTAGGTCTCTCGCTCGTCACTGAAGTTTGCAAACTGCGGAGAACGTGGATGTGGCCATGTGTGTAGTCGGTGCCTGTGACCCTTGGAGTGACGTGAATCTGTGGACTGTTCCTTGCCTTTTCTGACCAAGCAGCAGCAAGTTCTGTGTAGTGAACTGTGTCTTCCCAGAGCCAGTCCTAGCAGGCATTTCTTCTCGTTTGCAGGATTTGCTCTCAAAGAGTGGTTTGGTTTCCTGAGAACCTGCAGGTGGACCCTGGGCGCTCCGTGCTCGCCCCTGGAGGAGGCGTGTGAGGAAGACTGTTCCGTGCAGACCAGGACACTCCTGCCTGGCCGTCAGGCCTCCCGGCTCCTGGTTCCAGCCTTTTTACCAAATCCTGTGAGACTTCAGCAGGTAGGTCACTTTCCTTCTCTGGGCCCCAGCTTCCTTCCATGTGAAATAAAGGCCCTGGACCCCACGGGCCCTTCTGGCTTTCAAATTCCGTGATCTAGGCACTCAGGTGAATCAAATTCCTTTGAAGTGGCTTTTGGGTCCCACAAACAAAAGCCCATTTCTTTTATGTTGTTGAAATAAATGAACCCACTGCCCAACCTGAGTCAGAGGTTTGCTTTCAAGAGTAGAGGGGTTGATTACAGAGGAAGCATGTCGCTGGACTGAATTACTAGTCTGCTGTGCTGTCCAGCCTTTACTCACGCTTTCCCTCTTTACGTAGGACCGTGGAAGACACTGACCACATAAGACAGAGCAGAGTCACTTGATTTAGTGCAAAAATCCTTTGGCTAGGGAGAAGGGAGTGCTGCTTTTCAGATGCATAGAATATATCCTGAAATGCCTCCAGTTGATTTCCCTGTTGCCTTGGGAATCGTAAATTCTATAGCCAGATCTTCTCTGTGGTGTAGGCATTTGAGGAAAAAAAAATTTTTTTCTGGGAGTTACTGACTTACACCTGTGCCCTGATCCCAGTCTGTGTTCAGTGAGTCCCATTCTGCCCCGAGGAGGATAACGGGTGTGAGGGTTAGGGGGTCGGACAAAGGAGGTAGGAGCCCTGGGTCTGGGGTGGATGTGTCCCTGCTTTGCTTCCTGTCCTGGGTCAGGCTCTGCACCTCTCTTCATTTTATCTGCCGTCTGTGATGTTTCAAAGATAACTATGGGATTGTGAGGGTAAAGGGATAAAATACACTGGGAGTATTTTATATGGTAGAATATAACTAGTGGTTCCTCTGAACGCAAAGCCCTTTGGCCTGTGTTCTGGGTGTACAGATGGGAGTGGTGGAGCAGACCGTGCCCTTGGTGAGCCTGCGATTCTGAGCCTTCTTTCTCATCAGGAGGTTGAGGGAGTTGGATGAATTATCTACAGTTGTAAGATGCTGTTTTTTAATAGCAGAACCACTGGTGAAACAACCCTGTAAGGCGCAATTTGAGCAATGTCCTTGAAGGATGGGATCGTGTAGAGAGCCTGCTCCGTGTCGTGGGAAGGCGGTTATTTGAGCGCGAACACCGAGGAACATAACCTAAGGGGAGCGAACGTCCTTGTCCACCATGAGCAAAATGTGCAGTGTGGTGGTGTCGTGAGCAGAGGCGCGGAAACCAAGCAGATTTGGTTCTGGCGCCCATCCTGCCTCTTATTTTGAACAGTGTGACCTTGGACCAGAACATAACCTTTCTCAGTCTCAGTTTCTTCATCTGTAAAATGGTGAAAATAAGTCCTGTGTCATAGAGCTAGTGTGACAGCGAAGCACTTAGCGTGTTGCCTGGCACGTGGTCAGTGCTTGGTGGCAGCTCTCATTCTCTGTGCGACGTCTCTAGGGAGTGATGAACTTTGCGGGGGGACATAGACCTGTATCATAACGAGGACTTGGGCTGGGAGTGCTGGGGGAGGCCAGGGGGCACCTGTGAGTGTTTCCTGACCCTGGAGACCCAGGAGGGAGCCAGTGTCAGGCAGTGGAAAAGCTGGATATCGGGAAGGTAAGTCCTGGGTGGCACGTGGTGAAGAGCACTTAGGATACGTCTCTGAAAACCTCACCTGAATCCCTGGACGCTGGATCGCTGTGCCTGTGCTACGAGGGCTGGCTCAGAGCTGGCAAGACAGCGTGGAGGGTGCCGCCAGGCGCGGGCTCCTCCTGCCTCCTGGGCGTCCTGCAGACCCGAGTCGTGCGGCGCCACCCCCTTTGTAAGCATATGTGTACCAGTTCCTTCTGGACTCTACTAGACTTACGGGACAGGCACGTTCATATTAAGAATTTTAAACTGAAAATTGGGTGCAGGAAGTTCTTTTTATTTATTTATTTATTTGAGAGAGAAAGAGTGTGAGAAAGAGAGCACAAATGGGGGGCGGGCAGAGGGAGAGGGAGAAGCAAGCTGTCCGAGGAGCAGGGAGCCTGATGCAGGGCTCGATCCCAGGACCCTGGGATCATGACCTGAGCCAAAGGCAGACGCTTAACTGACTGAGCCACCCAGGTGCCTGCGTACAGGAACTTCTCGTTCCTTCCTTGCCTTGGTGGCATGTCTGTGAGCTATGGGATGTCATGCCCCTACCTTCAACACGCATTTGCCGAGCTCATGGGCACTAGAAGGAACCCAACGATGATGGGACGCTGTCCGTGCATACCAGGACAGGCAGTCCATTGAGGGAGGTAGGTGGCTCAGTACATGATTATAATACTCTACAGGGCACCGTGGAGGCTCTGGTGAAATGGATCACCCTCCTAATTTTTTCTAGGATGTGTGGTCTTAATTTTATCTGACCATGTTATCGCTCTTAAAAAAATGGCCGAGGCATCTCACCAGGCCGGGGTCATCTCAGAAAGCAGTCATGGAATGATTATCATGCAATGGTTGAAGCAGGACCTTTGGAGTTAGATCTGCGCTCAGGTTCTCACTGCTGTGGTCTTGCCGTGTGGCTGTGAGCAAATTATTAGCTACAGAGACTTAGCCACTTATGTGTCTTGTAGCCTTTGGCAACCCCTCTGAGCCTCTGTTTGTTCAGCTGTAAACTGGGGCTGATAACACCATCTAACCCATCGGGGTCTCTGGGAGCAAAGTGAACTCACACCTGTCCAGGGACTAGCACAGTGCGGGCATTTGAGGCCACTGGGGGAGCATTTGCTCAAAGACAGGTAACCAGACCATTGCTTGCTTCTCATGCCCCTGAGGATGGGGTCGGGGGGGGGGTGGTCTCTGCAGCATTCCCAGGAGGAGGGGGCATCGTGGGTAGTGGGTCATCAGAAGGTGTCAGTTCTTTACTTGTGAGCTCTGCGTCAAGACTCGCGAGCTTTCTGTGCGCATTGTGCCACAAAACAAAAACCGACCCACAGATCACTTGATATCCGGTTATCGGTTTGGCTGCTGCAAGACAAAGGAACTTTGGTAATTAGGAAGACCCCCGTGGGGAGGAGCCAGTTGGGGGTGATTAATGAGAGCAGGCTGGGAGAAAGGGGATACTGTGGGCTTTGAGTGTTTGAAGGGACAGTTAAGGGTAGAATGTGGCTTGTTTAGTCTGTGAAGATCCTGAAAAGGAGTAACTTTTCTGATGATCACACTCTCTGATTTGGGAGGTTCTGCACCCCGCAGTGGGGAGAGCTGTCTTGTGCTTTGCAGTCTTGGTCTGAGATTTCAGTGAAAAGAAAACCATGCAGGGCAGCTTAGTAAAAATCAGTGAAATGAACATTTGTTAGAACAATGCAGCAGGTATGCTGTGCAGTTCAGGTGCGCAGGTGACAAAGGAGAGCCCAGGAAGGTCTCGTGAAGCCCGTCAGAGTCTTTCTGTCTGTCTCTTCCTCTCGCCTGACCCGGTCTCTGGTGCCTGAGCATGTCTGCCTGTGCTCCCCCATGTGCTGATAACCGGGTCCTTTCCTCCTCTGGTCCTGACTCCTCCCTCCAGCATGTACATGCTGTACCTGGTTCCTGTGTCCACATGTCTTCAGCTCCAGAGATCCCAACTGCCCACGAGTTCCTAGTCCCAGGCAAAACTCCTCCAGGAGGAGAGTCGGACTGGCCAGCTTGGGTTAGGGCGGCCCAGAGAGTTATAACCTGGGAGTGGGAGGTGGCTATGGTGGCTGTGGCCGCCCAGAGGCCACGTGTGGCAGAAGGTGCCGGTCTCTGAGCCGGAGAGCACAGCCGGGCAGGTGTCCCCCACCATGGTTACGGCCAGCTCCCAGCCGGGAGGGGTCTCCGTGAGTCCTCCATGGGAAATCTGTCGGGGAGCTCAGGGCAGAGACAGGACAGACTCAGTCTGAGGTCCTCTTCAGACATTTTGATGCTGCGAGCTGGCACCTAAGTGAAACCTTACAGGATAAATGTGATTTGGCTATCTACCAGAGAGGCGTTTTTAATAAGAAAATATATGAATGAAGATGGGGTGCTGTGAGTTTCACATAGGCCCATAAGCATTTTTTAACATCTCTGCTGATGGCCACCCATTGATTTCTGGACGAGGTTGATATTTTTTATTGTGGTACAATATATGTATCATAAAATTTGCCATTTTCACCCTTTTTGAATGTACAATTCACTGTCATTCAACACATTCACCCTGGCATGCGGCCGTCACCACCATCCGTCCCAGAACTGCTTCCCCAACTGTAACTTATCTCCCCAAACTGAAGACACCCATTGAACACTAACTCCCCAGTCTCCCTCTCGGCCCCCAGCAAACACCACTCCACTTTCTGTCTCGATGATTTCAATGACTCTTAAGTACCTCGTTTAAGTGGAATCATACAGTATCTGTCCTTCCGTGACTGGCTTACTTCACTCAGCATGATGTCCTTAAGGTTCATCCGTGTTGTAGCAGGTGTCAGAATGCCCTTCCTTTTGAAGGCTGAGTAGTATCCCATCACATACAGAGACCACATCGCTCTCTCTAGTCATCCATCAGTGGATATGTGGGCTGTTTCTACCTTCTGGCTCTTATGAATAATGCTGGCAGCCCTTCATTCTTAGAGTATAGATGAGATTGTTTTCCCCTTACAATCATCAAGAAGTTGTTTTACTAATGAAAAAGGACCTTAAAAGACTTATTTAATCCAACTTCTTCATTTCCTAGAGCAAAAGTCATTCAGTTAGGACAAGTGGACAGCTCAGGAATACACCTTGCCCACTTTGGACTCATTTGCCATTTCTCTGTCCTAGACTTACCTAAAATTATGAGAGCTTTGGTAGTGACAGCAACATGGCCTCAGTTAATATCTTTAGTCCTGAAGAGTGTTGTAGACTTGGAAAGAATCCCATGGACTGAACTTTTTTGCTTGGGACTTTTTGGTCTCAAAATATATATTGAACATTCCAAAGAGCTTTTATTTATGTGGGTATATCTGTATATATTTCTCATATTCGAATTAAAAAGTGGCAGATTTTTAAGATATTTATTAATTCATTAAAATATATTTATGAAAAGTAACTGCGTTTTCCAAAACAAGCTGATTTGTGAGAGAGTGGCGTGTTTTCTATTTCTGCAAGCATCTCCCATATCTGGTCTGATAAAGATTGCTAGATTCTCGCATCTGTTTCTGCATTCAGATTGTTGTGGAGCATTGTTTTAGAGCAAGCACATAAAGAAAATCTGGCTCGTACAGATACATAGAGAAGAATACTTCAGTGCCTCTTCAGAAAACTGTCAATATTCTTCTTTGATACTACACCAAAAACTGGCAAGGGGTAGTTTCTTAAAAGTTAGTTGCTATTTGGAATCTGAAGCTGAATCATAGAATGCTTCATCCTCTGTTACATTAGACTATTTCCGCTTATTTTGTATGTTAGACGGATCCTCGCCGATGTGTGATTTTGTGACCTCACTGTTCACGGAGTGGTGTGGATCTTCTAAAAGCTGACATACCGCATTATACTAGATCAGAAAAGCCTGTTGGCCAGTGTCTGTCCCAATCTGATCAGGAGAGTCTCTGCTGAGAAGCTGTCATGCTCACAGTGGTGGGTACAAGTGTTCAAAATTCTCACTTCCGTTTGGAAGCTCAAATTTTATCGTTGGCAACCAATGCTGTCATTGTTTACCTTGACATGGTAAGGTCACTTTGTTCCCTTTTGGGAGGATGTCGGTCATACACTCAGTGTGCATCCTTGTAGTTTGTGTATCATTTCTTCTTTGGGGCCACATGAGAAAAGCAGCTTAGTCTGACGTGCGCCTCAAACAGCGCACACTTGCTTTTCCTCTGACAGCAATTGTCCGTCGGTTGGCAGGAGAGGGGCAGTTTGCATACTCCCTCACACAGGATCCCAAAAAGGTGCATCCTCCAGGGCTGAGATTTAATAAAAGCAGCGCTTTGTACCGCTCCATCGAAGACACTCTTAAGTGACAGTGTGACATTTTCATTTCTACTGTCAGTGTGTGGTGAAGAATACAGTGACTGCTCGTTTAGTCTGGTGTCCCTGCTTTGATTTGTGCTAAGAGGCTGGCAGCATAGCCCCTAACCACTGACACAGGAAAAGGAGAATAATGCGTGTTTCAGTGTTATGAAAATAGTTGGGCCTCCTGCATGCTGTAAAAGGTTTCGGGGTCCCCGAAAGGTTCACACCATGATTTGTAAATTGCTGACTCCAGCCGCGTAGTCGGGTCTTGAGTCGGCCATGATCCTAGAAGGAAAAGACATGGTCAGGAGTCCGCACCCAAATTCTCCTTGGCATCCGGTGTCTTTGCTAACTGCACAAACATGCTCACAGCCTTCCTGGGAATGGAGCCAGCCCTGCAAAGGCAGAGTTGGGTGTTGAGTTTCTGAAACCACGTCCTGGTGGTTATTTGAAAACTATTTGGCATTTTAAACTTCCATCTCCTTCTCGACAATGAAATTTAATATCATGCAATTGACACCATGATGATGTCAGGCTTTTGGGTCATGACTCCATCTGTTGGCAGCATGGCTTTGGAGCGTCTCCTAGATGAAAATGACTGCCTCAGAGCAAAAGCAAAGGAGCAGTGCATTTGTCCAGAAGATGACGCATGAATCTTAGTCGACCTGGCTTCGGCAAACTTGCTCTTCACACTAGAATACTGTATCCAGTTAGGCTAAAGTGAAATGCATTTATATTGTGGCATTTGCACCCCACTGGGTCTAACAGTCCCCTTCCCTCTCCTCTGTTTGCAGCAATGGAAGAGTTAATAGTTGAACTTCGTCTCTTTCTGGAGCTCCTGGACCATGAATATCTAACGTCAACCGTCAGGGAGAAAAAGGCAGTGATCACGGACATCCTGCTGAGGATACAGTCATCCAAAGGTGCGTCTGCTCTTTCTACCTCCAGTCTCCTTTGTCTCTAAACCAGCCCGCATCCACCATCTTTCTAAGACACATTCATTTGCTCATTAACATACTTGTTCCTCCCACTGTCCCTGAGGGTCTCCCCGCGTGCCAGGTGCTGGCACTTTCCAGGCGCAGGAGGACAAAGCCTTTAAGGAGCTGATGGGATAGTGGGGGACCATGCTCCAGTTACTCCATCTCTGTCCGCTTCTCTCCTCCCCTGGAGCTTCTGCCTTGGAGGGATGTCTTGGGGGTCAGAGGAGACGACAGAAAGTGCCTCCAAACAGTACCTGACCCGCAGTCGATCTGCAGTCACCACGACTTTCCACTCCCCTGTTGCTCCTGTTAGTTGAGGTGGTCCTCCTTCCCAGCCTCCTGCCCTCAGCCTCTTCCCTTTGCTCGGCCAGCACCCACTGCTGGCCTGGACGCACCGCGCCGCTTGGGCCTCTGGCCTCGGGGTCTGCTGTTGGCTTTCCCGGGGGCCCTTTCCTCTTCCTCTGCCCGATGGGTTCCCACCCTCTGTCTCTCCGCATGTGCCTCCCGATGCTTTCCAACTCACTCGCTCTCCTCGGAGCTCTTTCATTAGCCTTGAGCCCGTCCGCTGATAGTTTTTGGTGGTAGAATTCCCATTTGTTCTTTTTCTCTCTTTCCTTTTTTTACCGTGCCCAGTTCTCTGCCAGAATTCCCCACTGCACCTCTGGCGGTCAGGCTCTGTGTCTTCATAGCTCTTTCCCTGCCGGCGTATCACACGTGACCCGGTACGGGTGACTGTTGTTGAGCGGTTGTTCTGGTGGGTCTTGCCAGGGGGGGTCTGGCCTGGAAATAGTCCTGCACCCAGATTAAAGCCGGTTCCTTCCTTTCCTGCCTTTGCTGACACAGTGCTCACCACGTGTCCTAAGTTACTTGGGTACACACTTGTCTTCTCAACTTGAGTACGGCTGCGCTGGGAGCGTGAGCTTAAGGCAGCCGGGACACGCAGGGACCTGTATGTCCCAGTATCTGATATCAAGAGGGCGCCTGAGACAAACGTACTGCTTCCCGGGGCCACCCCCGCCCCTTAGTCCATGGGTAGGTCCTGACCGGAGTGGAAGTTCAAGGCAGGGCAGCTCACCTTTCCGAGGCCGAGTAGCATTGGAGGAACACAGGCTTCCGTGCCGGCTCCATCATTTCCACCGCTAATGCTTCGATTAGTTCTGCAACCTCTTTTTGTTTTTTCGAGCCATAGATTCCCCACCTGGAGAAGAGTAATAGGATTGTTGTACGGGCTTAGAGGAAACAGATATTTGCCCGGCGTTCACGATGGGGCTGAGGGAGGGATAGCTGCCGGCGGCACGGTCCACACCCTTCTCCTCCTCATCCAGTTCTGTGGTTTTGGTTGATGCTTACAGGTTTCGAAGTGAAGGACCATGCTCAGAGGCAAGAGACCCCCAACAGCCTGCCGGCTCCTCCCCAGATGCCTTTGCCGGAGATCCCTCAGCCGTGGCTGGTGAGTGCACGGTCCTGCAGAGCTGCTGGGCCCCTGGGCCACTCGGGGCTCCAGGCAGGTGGTAACAGCCCAGATCTGGAGGAAAGGAGGCCATCTCTTGGCTAGAGTCTCTCCTTTGAGTGGGTTTCTAGGGCTGCTGGTAATAGCCAAATGGGAGGCTGGTGTCTCCTTGAAAATTGCTGGAGCTACAGGTCCATGGAAATCTGTTCTTAAGTTAGATTTTCCAGAGGCTTTAGCAGGCACATCGATGGCACAGAGCCACTGGGGGACTTGACCCTCTCTTGGGCTAACTCTGGATTTGAATACCAGAGTCTACAGCTTTCATATTCATTGTTCTGCTTCTTCTGGGGTAACACACGCACACACACGTGTGATGCTGTGCATTCAGAGTGTGTCCTGGAGTTCTTCTGCCACCTTTGCAGTCTTGGCACGCTCACCTGTGCCATTTAGCGTTCTCTGCCTCTTGCTGTTGGCTCATTTGCTTGCTCAGGAAAATTTGACTTTCATTCAAAATCAGAAGAAACTCAGTGACTTGGAAATTCTTTGTAATGTTTGCTTTCTGTATGTAAAATCTCTAAAAGATTTTACTTATTTATAAGAGAGAGAGCCATGAGAGAGAGAGCAGGAGTAGGGGGAGAGGGAGAAGCACACCCCCGCTGAGCAGGAAGCCTGATGTGGGGCTTGGGCCCAGGACCCTGAGATCATGACCTGAGCCAAAGGCAGATGCTTAACCAACTGAGCCGCCCAGGCGCCCCTAGTATGAGTCATTTCTTCATCTTGCCACCAGGACAAGGACTGCAGGAGAGCGGGGCCGGGTCCCATTTACCCCCAGCTCTGCTTGCGCCCCAGCATGGTAGCTGGTGTCCAGTAGACACGCGTTAATTATCATTTTAGAAGGGGATAGAGGACATTAGCACTCACTGGGTCCCTACCGTGTATTACACACCAGACTTGTTACTTTTTCACTTGTAATTTCATGTAATCCTCACAGCTTGAACTCAGAGAACTCCTACATGTGAAGAGTATGAATACCCAGTTTCCAGACAAGGAAATTTAGGATCAATGAATATACGTGATTTGTTCAAGACCATACAATAGGGAGGAAAAGGCAAGAATTGTAACAGCTTCTTTGGATTCAAATGCAGTCTTTTCTCAACAATACTACTTCGGTGGTGTGGCCGCAAAGCTGAGGCAAGTCTACCTCGCGGATCAGAGAAGGTTGTGTCGGGAAGCGGAAGCCTGCTCCCGAGCCGGGGTCCAGGGAGGCGGCAGGACACAGAGCTCAGCTGCCACTCACTCGGCCATGTCCTTGTATGACTGCACGGTAACCGTAGTGTCTCTGTGCTGCCGACGCAGCGTTCCTGAGAGGCTGTCGTGGTGGGGCCATGCGCTAGGATAACCGTGAGGCCTCGAGTGCTTAGAGCAGGGTCCCGCGGATCGATGCTCTGCGTGAGAGCTGGCTGCTACTATATAGAGCAACCTTCACGTTCCCCGAATCCCTGGGGATCTTGTGAAAACGAACCTTCTGATCCGCTAGGTCTGCGTGGGGCCGTAAGTGCTGCGTTTTCAACAAGATCACTGTAGAAAATTGGGGGGGGGAAGCCCGAAAAGTACATAAAAGTCATCTACGTTTCCTTCTTTCTGGGAGAGCCACCACCTTCCTTCACGTGTGCCGAGCCGGGGCAGGGCCACGGGCCTCTAGTCCGAATGGAGATGTGCTGTGAGTGCCCTGTGTACGCTGGTCCGCAAGGCTGGGGGTGAGGAAAAGGAGACCCTCACTGTTTATCTGTTGTTTTACACATTTAATCTGTCTGCAATTGAGAGTATATTAAATGTATGATCTTGATATGCTGTTTTTATCTTTTTAACATTATTTGTTATGTATTTTTCCCTCTTTATAAGCTTCTTTTTAATTATTTTCCTTTTTTTTTTTTTTTAAACTTATCCTGTTACAGAAACTGACTTGATTGGCTTTCATTTTTCCATGCATTATTTGTTTTTGTATTGTTATTTTTTAAACTTTTTTTAAAATTGTTTTTAAGATTTTATTTATTTATTTGAGAGAGAGTTCATGAGCAAGAGGGAGGAACAGAGGGGAGAGAGAGAAGCAAGCTCCTCGCTAAGTGGGGAGCCCGATGCGGGGCTCGATCCCAGGACCCGGGGATCGTGACCTGAGCCAAAGGCAGACGCTTAACCACTGACCCACCCAGGTGCCCCGTTGTTTTAAATACAATGCAAAACTGTAGCCCAGAAGTGTTGGTGCACAACATGAATCCTCACCAACATCGTCTGTCTGAAAGAGAAAGAGCGGGGTGAGCGGACGGCAGTTCATTCGTTTCTGGGTTTTATCTTCTGGCTCACCGTGCTTTCCCTCCTCAGCTTGCCCGAGCCCACGGCCCTCCCACCGTCTCAGCGCGCTGCGTCCCATAGCGCACGTTGGGAAAGGGGTTTCCAGGCTGCAGACATCTGGGGGCAGCCAGCAGAGTGGGGAGGCTTCTGTGAACTTCATGGACCCTCCGGTGCCTCGTCAAGTGCCATGTACCTGGTCTGGACTGAGACGCACGTCCCATATGGTCTAGGCTAGGTGCAGGGACTGTCACTTTCAGTGCCAATCTCAGATGAAGCACACTCATCAAATAGCCAATAGTTTCTACCATTTTTGACCACTGAATAGTTAATCCTTTTCCATTGATTTTTTCCTCAAGTACAGTTTGCTGTTCCTCCATTTGTTTGTGTTCCTTTCTCTCTCCCCTGTCCTCGTCTCTCGCTGTGCCCGGCTTATGCCCTGTCCCTGCCTTTGGTCGCAACATGGCAGAGTGTCCTGGTTTAAGGAACATGAGAAGCCCTCCTACTGATGGTACTTGGTTAGCAAAAATATTGGCTTTAAATATTTGAATATTTAAATACTTAAATATTTTAAGTTTAAACAAATAATTTTTGGGTAGGAATCTGACCAATAGGTAATTTCTCCTGACTGGTGCCTAATACATGAGTATCTAGAGAGTTTTCCTGTCCCCTAAACTCCTGGGGTTCCGACGTGGGGCCAGGGGCTACATTCCTTGAGTATGGGTCTCCGCACTGTAGCCTGCTTCTTTTCTGCATATACCTGTGGCAGTTAGCGATTTCCAGTTTTTGTTTCCTTAAAGTGGAGTGAAACGTAGACACCCGTGACCCCGCCTGAGTTTGGAGCCCCTGAAGCTTTGAGTGCTGTGCTGTTCTTTCCTAGTTGATGTGCCCACCCTGATTGGATTTTCTTTTCTTCCTTCGTGGTTTGTCTTGACCAAAGCTTTCTTTTTTTTTTTTTTTTTAAGATTTTATTTATTTATTTGAGAGAGAGAGAGAGCACATGCATGCACAAGAGAGAGCATGAGCAGGGAGAGAGGCAGAGGGAGAAGGAGAAGCAGACTCCCCACTGAGCAGGGAGCCAGACATGGGACTCGATCCTAGGACCCCGGGATCATGACCTGAGCCGAAGGCAGATGCTTAACCAACTGAGCCACCCAGGCGCCCCTTTTTTCTTTAAAAAATATTTTATTTTTGTGTAATTTCTATACTTAACATGGGGCTTGAACTCACGACCCCGAGATGAAGAGTCACCCGCTTTACTGACTGAGCCAGCCAGGCGCCTCTTGACTGAAGCTTTCTAAAGAGAGTCATCTCAGAGAGTTATCACCTCTCCTTTTGCACTCATTATTTCACTGGTTTATTTATGTAATAGCTAATTGAGTTAACGTAACTAACTATAATAATAAGTACAAGCATTTACAGAACAAGGCTGACTCTTGGTAAATGTGCAGCTCAGCTGAGGGGACTCTTAATACAGGGCACTCTGGAGGGGAGCCTGTCATTGACCATGAATGTTTAGCATTTTACAGACATCTGTCAGGGCTTTTGCAGAGGGAACGAAGAACATCTGTCACTTTAGCAAGTCAGGGAAGCGGAGACTGGTTACGATGGTTCTACTGTAGTTTCCTGATAGTTTTCAGTGAATTCACTATTCGGCAAGTAAGGCGGTCATTGGGTAGATTCACTCTGCCCCTGGTGAATTGGCTGTGGCCGGTCAGTCCTCTGCTGTCGGCAGGTTGACTTTCAGGAGAATTCACACGTGCTGGGCCAGAGATGGCATGACCAGGTGGGGAGGGTACACGAAGGAAGATGCGGGTGGCCGGGAGCTGGGCACGCCACGGCTCTGTGCTGGGGAATGGGATTCGGGCAGGGTCTGCCAATGAGGCTGCCACGCTGCAGGGGCCAGCCACGAGGGGCCCGCGGGGATCCCCAACACCACTGAGAATGGCTGAAGGACGAGTTTCAGTGTAAGATGAATGACATTCCCACCAGGTCTTCTCCATTTGAACTGCTCTTCCCTGCTGCTGCTTCTGTGGCCCGGGACAGAACGCGGGCTGCCTCCTCTCACACCGAATGGTGCTGCAGACTCTAGGAGATGAGTTATCTTTGACCTTTTTAGCCCTTCTAGTGCCCAGCAGGGCTTCCTGCAACTACCACTAACCATCTTCTGCCATCCCTCCTCCCCGAGGGATCTCTAAGATCTGTTCGTCTTGGTAACGGAGACTTTACACCCACTGACCTAACAGCAGGGCCTCATTTTCACATTCTTTTAATTCAACTAAATGTTCACCTGTTGGAGATGGTGTTTGTTTCTATGCTGCTTTGTGTTCCTGGAGCTGTGCAGTGGAAAACGCTGACGGCTTGTCAAGGGTGGGGGGCATGTCCAAACGTCAGTCTTGTGACGTTGACGATGCCTCCATGCACGGAGGGCACATTGGGGTGTTTCTTCTCTGTCCGGGCCTGGGAGTGAACGTGGTGACAGCCGAGGGTGTCCCATGAGACCCGGTGGCCCTTCAGCGTGGCCAACCTTTTCAAATGCTCACAAGAGTGTGGGGTTATGGGCTGTGTGTGCGTGCAGAACTTCTCCCGAATCCTGGAAATGGCAAGTGTGGTACACGACGTGTTTGACCTTCTGCTTGAGCTCCCTCGCTTTC